CTGGTTTATGAGGAAGAAATAACTCAAGGGGAATCAAGCACCAAACATCTAAAATGAAAACTTGGAATACAAAGGCACAATAAAGAAAAGAAACGAACAGCATAAACACCAAGTATTCCGTCCGATGTGAAAGTTGTTGACTTTGTCAGGAAACATAGATTCACTGACAAAAAAGTACCAGAAGATGCAGAATCCCGTCTCCAAAGGATAAAGGACCTAGTTGAACACCCAGAAATAAAAAGTGTCACTAACCAGGAATGATACGAGACGAACAATAATCATATAAGAAAACTGAAATCAATAAACGCACTTGATAATGTTTTCATCTTAACAAGACACGCATACAATGGAATATATATTTTCCTACTTAATAACATTATATTACCATTGACATAGGCAGGATGGAGGGATCGAGCCTAGATACCTTGATTATGAATACCAATGGTATCACTAACAAAATTAGAACAATCCATTAACTATGCCATTATTTTGATACTAGAAACTCGCGGTACGTAGAGCATGTGGAGAAAAAACTAAAAGAGGATTTAGACACCCTAGTTTTCACCAGTAGCACTCAACAGAAGGTCAATTTGGGTTGGCTACAATCGTGAGACGTACCGCCAAAGGACTAAACCTGGAATTAATTAAAACACCCAACAAATTACAGGTACGCATACTGGAATCAATTAAAACACCCAACAAATTACAGGTACGCATACTGGAATTAATCAAAACACCCAACAAATTACAGGTACACATACTATAATTAATTAAAACACCCAACAAAATACAGGTACGCATCTTACATGCAAATCTAAATAAGGACATCTTATTGAATGGTCTCCGTCGTCAAAGAAAATAGGTTTTGATTTATAAACAACCCTTATATAAGACTACTCATATATTTCATATAAAATTTTACGTTGAAATTGCTAGCAATTTTTATCTGATTTTTCACACAAAATTGAACTGCTAGCAGTTCGAGCTTTGCACTCTACAATATCCAACAGTCACATAAAATTCCAATCCGCTACTAATAAATCGTTGAGATTAGTAGGTCTATCAAAATGAATGCATTATTAATAACTCGCTGTGATTTGCAGTTCTGTTAAAATGAATGCGCTATTAATAAGTAGCTGGGATTTTAAGAAAAACCAATTTACACACAGGCTCTGATCAGTGTCTGATCAGTGTATACTTGTATATCCAAATTTCATTCGCATATTTGTAAGAGCTAGGTAGACATGCAGTTAAGACGTACAGACAAACAGATCGACTAGTGGCAACTCCTTCATGGGTTCGACTCCAGAAAAACGCGATATTGTCATGCGTTCCGCAACAGAAGCCATTTTAATTGGAGAAGCGCCTGTTAGCATTGAAAAGACGTGATGTTCTTAAACGAGTAATTGAAAAATTGTATTCAAAATAGCTAGTTCTAGATGCATTTCGCCTAGCACCACCAAACCTCAACGCGCCCGCGATACGCTTAGGGTTGTATTTCATTACAAACTCTCGCGCTTAACGATCCGACAATTGCAAAATTGAAAATCAGCCTGGACAACCATCGGAATCTCTAAAATTTCGTTTCACACTTAGGTAATCACCAGGGGTGGGGTGTTTATGCAAAATGGAAAAATATAACAATTACCCAAGATAAGAGATATCCAACTTCATTCAACCTGGCCGTCAGGTACTCTCTTTGCCACTTTTTTACAGTATGGTGGTTCGTACTGTGATTTATATTTCATACAAAATTTTACTATCTTTATTTTCACACAAAAGTTTTACTATCCTTATTTTTTAAATGAAATCGGCAGATATTTTACATAAAATTTACTTAGTATCGTTTTTCGTATTTCGAAACACTATTCGGTATCATATCTACGAGCAAATCGTCTTTAACTCGCAATTCCTATATTAGCTCTAACATTATAAACTTTTCACCACGCAAATAAGCTCGAAGTTTATTAAGAATTTCATTAATAGTTGCTATTGCTTGTTTATACGAAGTATTTTTATTCTACGATTTTTGCTTGATCCCTTTATTTATTGCTGATAGTGCAATACCTATACCCGGTAATATTATCAATAATGGCTTTGCCGTTCGGCCTGCTGAAGCAATTCTAAACGTTGTTATTAATATTGGAATATAATTCAGCCCGCTTATTATTCTGCTGTAATATTTTCTGGCTTGTCTGATAGCATAACATTTTTTATGATAATATTTGTAGTATTTGATCAGCTATTCTCTATCTTTGTCTTGGAGACCCGATGCAATATGATTTAAGTCTATTATTTCTCTTTTTGTCATTATGAAACTGTTTCTGTAATTAATTCAATTGCTGTAGTAAAAATATTTGCAGCTGAAACGTTATCGATCGGAGCACTAATTTTTTTATTGACAGGATCGGTAAGAAACTCTGTACTTATCACATACTTCAGATGAGATATCATCCTATCTGATATCTGTTAAAACTGGGGATGAACATGGAGGATTAAAATGTATTGGTATTTTAGTAATATCTGGCTCTCAAGACAAATATCTTCTGTTTCGTGGATATAATTTACAACATAAGTTAACTGTCCCAGTTTAAAATTTTTAGGTGTTATATGCTGCCTTAGAATAGCATATGCTGTTGCAAGAACTGAGATTATTAGCTTCTACCATCTCTATTGTGGGTAGGTTTAGGTATCCAGCAATCTGCTCTTTGATATTTCTGTATTTGTTTTCTGTCAATAACTTTCCAGCTTCTGTTTTATAGTTTTTCAACGCAATCATTTAAAACTATTTGTGTATTTCATGATCTTCGTCAATAACAGGATTCACAGTTGTAAGGTCATGAAGGACTTGATAAAATATATCTCGTTCGAAATCACCATATAACTCAATTCGGTTATTAATATATGATATTGCGTTTAGTGCAACATTAACATGTTATACTTTATACCTCTCTATATCGCCGGTGAGTCTATGAAAACTAGATATGCTGTTTTTGCAGGCTAGTGTCAGTACTGCTATCTACAGTTTTTTAACAGCGTCTTTGTATCAGAATAACCCATGCCTGGTACACGAAATACTAGACGTTTAGTAAATGTGTTCTTGAGCTTACGAATTTTTAGAAACTTTTGTTTCCTTGTTTCAGCTAGTTTGTCAAGCTCGTCGTAAATCTTTAGTCGCTCTTGCTCTGGTTTCTTACCATCATGGAATTTTTATTTTACGCGGTTAGATTTATTAATAGTCAAAACATCTTTATTTAGCTCTAGCAGTGTATTTTTCAAATATCAGTGTATTTATCAAATATTTTTCAACCCTGAACCGCTGCTCCTCGCAGTCACTTACAAGACAGTATTTGCTAATAATATTAGTCTCTGATAGCAGATATCAGCTGAGGGCCTTTAATTCCAACTATTGCAAAGTTGTCACTGTTCTCAGATAAACCAGTAGAGCGTAAAATTAATTTTTCATTCGACCAGTTATATTGACCCACTTGTTCCAGCAACACTTTCAGCTGTTTCAATCTCCGATTTCGGATTTAGGATAAAATTATGGCACTTTATATCGACACTGATGGATGGAAGATCAAAAGACATTGTAGATTACAATTACATTAAATCGTCAAGTGTATATATCTTAAACATCGGCAAACCTGAATAAGTACCTGCAGCGCAGAAAACATCAATCCGTAAATACAAGTATTTGTCTGAGGTTGCATCAGGATCAAGTGTAACTTGATCAGAAGCAGAAACATAAAAAACGGGTTCTATATACATCGGCCTCCATCTTAAATTATTATTCGAAACATTTGTTGGAAATTTGGATTTATTCTACATCATAGTTAAAATATCCTTATTGTTACAGCCTCTGGATATTGTACTTTGATCCAAATCCTAGATGTTTCTCCATCTGTAGCCCACTCTAACACGTCAGATGAAGGCTGTTAAACGCAAACGCATATTTTTGGATTATTTTCCGAATAATAATTTGACGCAGATGAAGCAAAACCCCAACAATTATTATAGCATTGGCGAGATGCGGAATGTGACCGACACTATTAGCTCGTTTCGTACTACCACCAATTGCTTGCAGTTTTGCGACACTGTCCACGTGCTGTTTGTTGTAGCAACGTGTACATAAGTAGAAGTTATCTATCGCACCTGTAACTGTACCTTCTGATATTTTAAGATAATTGGCATCTGCAAAAGAAACTGTACTTAGTGATGCTGCGCTTATTTCATCGTCAACATAAAATATATTTGTTAGATTAAATGGGGCGATTAGATTAGAAGTTAGTTATTTTTTTTCGGAGCCCATGCTAAACATACCTGTCATCGTATCACTAGATTTTGCTAATCGTGATGCAGTCTGAATGAGGGCTCAACTAAAAATGGTCTACCGCCGTTTAGTTTTCAACAGCGTTGTGCAATTCCAAGATTTAAATTTGGGTTCGTGTTGTATTTAAAAAAAAGTCTGTTTGCCATTCATCTGGCATGAGGAGCAGTCTAGGTTGCTCTTGAGGTTGAAAATTAAAGCTAAAGCTCATTGTCGAGAATTGTTTAAATTTCTTTACCGACTATGAGGTATCGTGTGCTGTTAACAAAACTAACTTTGAATGCAACCCCGTATATGCTACTTCTATCGATATGGACTGGTCAATCTACAAATTCTAAAAATCTCTTTTACAACGATTAGCAAGCAATAGTTTGTCAAAGCTACATCAGATCCTTTGTGACTTTTGTCGTGCTATTAATTTCAATATCAATTTAATTCTAGTCCTCTTCCTAAGGTGCAGTTAGCAATTGCAGGATCAGTTATTTTACCATTGCATGCTAATTTTTTTTAAAAACTTTTTATTTGCAGCATCACTGATAAATTTACCAATGATATACTGCACATCCGCAGTAGATTCAGTTAAGGGCCAACTTGGTAAAGCGTGAGGCACTCTGTGGTCTGAATACTGATTTGGCGAAACGTTCGCGTAGTTGTTGTACGGCATGAGATCGCTCCGGTGGCCTAATGGTTAGAGCGTCCGCCTCGGATGCGGGAAGTCGCGAGTTCGAACCACGGCTGAATCATACCAAACACTTGAAAAAATGGTACTAACAGCTGCCTCGCTTGGCACTCAGCATTAAGAAGTCAGTGTTAGAACTAGTCGGTATGCTCTCAGGATAATATGACTGGGTGGGACATCATTCCACATGTCTGTGGCATCATGTCCCAGTGCTAGACATCACTATAAACTTTCACACTGCAGACATCGTAGCGATATGACTGAAAAATTGTTAAAGCTTCGTTAAAAAAGATAACTAACACACAAACAACACAGTCTAACAAGCATGTTTTAACGACATATACGCCACACATCGCAGCTGGTTTATTAAACAGGATAATTTTGTCAATACCGATGGGTACCTAACAGTAAACCGTTGACAACGACATCAAAACCAGTTTTGTAGTATCTTTCTTATAGAGGTTTCCGTATGTTACTACTATGCCGGGCGATAGTCGGGTTTGCACATTAGTCATCGCATAGAACTATTTATCATGTTCAAGTTTGAACACTTTAGTGAGGATCCTTAAGCATCGGCACGAAAGAGAGAATATATAATCCAACCGCAAAGGTTTCGCTACATGCATGAAGTAAATACCTGTGCTGGTTTGCGTTATTCTCGGGTTATGGTATAGCAGATATAATGGATTTCACGACTAGCTTGCAAACAGATCACCAGGAGCGACGTCTGGTATTGTATATACTTTTTTCTCTGAACAACCCAGTACCCTTTTGGTAAACAGATCACCAGGAGCGACGTCTGGTGAAAACTGGTATTGTATATACGTTTCTTTTCTGAACAACCCAGTACCCTTTTGGTACATGACTGCGCGATATCTGAGAGATAACCATCGGTGACTACTTCTTTGGCGAAACTCCACATTGGTTCATTAACACAGGGAACATCAAGCTAACTTTTGTGCGTGTAACAATCACCGACATCCTGATGGCAGTCCGCATCGTGATCAAGCAAGGTGTGCAGCGCATTTTTTGTAAGAGATATTGAATAGAAGACTATATGTATTTAATACATGCATTGTAAGAAATACATGATACATGAGCATATACATATCTCTCTCTCTCTCTCTCTCTCTCTCTCTCTCTCTCTCTCTCTCTCTCTCTCTCTCTCTCTCTCTCTCTCTCTCTCTCTCTCTCTCTCTCCGACTAGCCATTTTTCATCATTACAAATATATTATAACATCAAATTGTAAATATTATTCATCCATGCTTAATTAAAATATTTAAAATATGTGTCTTTCTCTGTAGGGGCTACTCACGGATTAGAATCAAAATGTAACAAGAATAGTCCAAATCGTTGCTATGCTGATCCCAGCATACGGTGTATTCTGGGCTGATCCCATCTTAAGTAAACTATGTGCTAGGTTGAATCTCATCTAGCTAATGTATTATGGGCTGATCCCATAGTAACTAAATATATGCTAGGCAGATTTCCGCATAGAAAGTATTCTGGGCTGATCCCAGATTTGTGGACTAGAACTATGTGCTAGACAGAATCTCAGCATGTTAATGGATTATGGGATAATCCAATCTTAACTAAATCTATGCTAGGATGATTCCAGCATAGAATGTATTCTGGGCTGATCCCAGATTTGTGGGCTAGAGCTATGTGCTAGGCTGACTCCCAGGTTGCTAATATATTACGAGCTGATCCCATCTTAACTAAAACTATGCTATAGTCTGAATTTAAACTGTAAATGAAATGTATTTAATGGGCAGGACCTTTACTTTATAGTCCGCTCTGCATTCTGCATTCAAATGTACATAAAGATGTAACTGTTCAACAGATGCTGATAGATAAATTAAGTACTATAAAAACGCTCAGAGAAAGAATAAAAAATCTATGGGTTAGACATACTTCCAAAAGCCAACCATGTATAAAAATAATATCTATTGTCCCACTTCACACCATAGTAGGGCCAAAGTGACTCCTTAATGGATACCAGTTTAAAAGCACCCTTTATATCAGCTTTGCACATGCAGCTGCCAATACCTATTTTTTTTATAATTGCCTTGGCATGGTTAATGGTTACATAAGAGAGCGAGTATTCATCCTTGTCGATGAGAGCATTAAGACTAGGGTGCACAAAATTTTCATGAGGGGCAGATAAGTCTAGGAAAAGTCACTTCTTAACAGAATATTGGCCTTCTGCAATGTCCAGCGGACTAATACGATACAACTGATATGGAATTTTATTTAAATGGCCCTATGACATAACCATTATTCAGATTATGCTGAAGTAGGTTTGAAACAATGTTTGGCTCCTGCAAAGCTGATTTTTACATTAAAGAGACAGAGTAGGCAACTGGCCCACACAAGTGTGAAAGACATGGACAAAATCTGCTAAAAACCATTTAACAACTTATCAGGGTGAGATGCCAACTCTAACTGGGACACATTCTCTGGGCCTCTAGTGTGGGTTATCTCTAGTCGAGCATTGTTTGTTCCTGTGAAATCTTTTTAGATTTTGCATGTGTTTGCTGAGTGCCTGTCCCGACAAATTAAGCAGACATGAAGGTTGCCACAGTGTGTGGACTGACATCCTCTTAGCGAATTGAAGTTGTTGCAAATTTATTTGCCATTATGTCTCATCCTAGGCCTACCGAAGGTATGAGATTTTGACATCTTGGCAGGAGATGCCAATCTGGGTAACCCAGAGGGTTGGGTCATGTGTAACAAATCGGGACAAAAGTCTGAAAAATTCAGCATGCTGTTACAGAGTGCACAAGCAACTGCTATACAATTTGTGAATGTGGAACAAAACAATGTAGTGTTCCTCACTGACCAATCAACTTTCAAGTTGTTATATCGTAGATGTGATGCAGCAGCTTAGGCCGAAAACATCTTATAATATTCATAAAACCCTTAGCCGCCAATTCTGGAAGCCATATCAATAATATCTCGCTCATACAAGTCAATTTCTGGGCGCCAATGGGGATGAACCTGTCATAAGATTCTTTTGTTGATACCAAATGCTTGAAAAAAATTGCGTCAAAGTGAGGGAATTGTTCAATCTAGGGTCTGGTTTCTCTTTTGACATGGTAGAAGTGCTCCAGTGTGGACCAACGTAAGAAAGGATTAAGAGAGTGGTCATGTTAACGTATTTACCTTCTTGTTTGCGAAGATTTGGATGCAGTGTCTCCATGAATGGCAAGGAGTCCGCTGCGAATCCATATTTAGTTTGTATGAAATTAGAAGACCTATTCTCGAACTGATCGAACATTATGTTGCAATCTTCCTCAACGGAATGGGAGTTGTCTTTCTCTATCGCTGCACCATTATCTCTGACAGGGACTTTCGAAGACAAGGATTCTGCATGTTCAGAAGGGAAACGTACTGCATTGGTCCGTGCTTCCCTCGCGGCAATGTTCCTGGAATAAATAAATGAGCAAACACTATACCGTATTTTGTAGTGCCAATCCGTAAGAACATTCGGCTGGATTGACGGAACTTCCGGTTGTGCATGGCTGACATTATCTGTATCAAGAACCTGTTGAGTATCAAAATCGCCGTTGCTGCTATATTCCTTGAACAAACAAATAAATCGCGATTTTTTCCATCCCGGACGGAAATGAAAACCTCGGTTAGAAAGCTCTTTATCTAAGCTTCGAGAGTGACCAGTTCTGTCTGGCAATGTCCGGTCATAGTTTGTAATAGCTGGTCAGACTGGGCGAGCCAGTGGGGAGACTCTGTTATTACGACGTCTTGTCCGATTTCTGTCAGCCATGTTTAGAAACGTACACAGAACAATGTCACAGCAACAATGTGAACATCAAACAAGGCTGAAAAAATGTTTACAACTGTACACCGAAAAATGTCACAACAGCGCTGTGTAAATCACCTAAGGTAAAGTTTTTAGCCTAAAACTGTAAGAATTGTTTGATGCGAAGACTCTAAATATCTTGTCTGTAGCTTCGACAAGCCAGCGAGTGCAGTGAAACTGTACATTTCTTCAATGTACCTTTGAAACCAGAGAAGTGACTGGTCACATGAATTCTATATGATCAGGCAAGGTAATTTAAGATTCAAAAATGTGGTTGGGTCTTTGACTGCTGCTGGCAATTCCAACCAATATGAATATTTCTGCTCCTGCCACACAACCCCATATACTCTCCCAACAAGCCCCAAGAAGACAACCAGTGTGAGGCTAATAATAGTCTCCAGCCTGATTCCCTGTCTACCTCTCAATTGCAAGGTACATGTACGACTCGCTGTCCCCTTGTTAGCCACTGACTAAGCCTTATAACTGACTTTATATCCTATTACCACACCAACAATTCCTCATTCCGTTGTCATTATCCGAGAAACACTTTTGCACAACAAGCAATATATGTATCTAGCATAACTCAAGATTATCAAGTTGTGCATAAACTAAAATTTTAATAAATTATCATTTTATTCATTTCAAATAGCTAAATTGTATCCATATAGTATATATTTTTATTACTATTTCAAACATATTGACATTTAGTCACCGAGACTTTGGCGCTTAAAGCGGTGTCGGTGATATTTCAGTCTTTGTGCAAATGGTCGCAAGCTTCGTCAACCACTTGCAGACGATTTTTATCATCGTGCATGATGTCTTGGACGATGAATTTTTGACAAATATGTGTTGCTTTACTGATTACTTATTCATATCTATTTCTAATTCTCACAGACCCAACTAATAATTCCAACCTTGCCGCTAGTCATCTGGAATAACATATTGCATGCTAGCATGTGTTGTGCTTGCAACATGTGCATTGTTAACAAAGGAAAACTACCTCATTTTCCTGGGGTTTTTTCTTTGTCTTGTTATTTTTTTTAATCTTATCTTCTGGAAAATATATCTTTTAAATTACTTGAAAAATAAAAATTTACTCTAAGGTCTCGTTTAGCAGTAATCTCTTTAAAAACCATTGTATTCCAGTTATCAGGTGTTTTATATTTTTCTGGTAAATATTCATAATAAGTACCAGAATCTTCAATAAACAACTTATTTATTTTTTTAATCGATAAAAAGTCCG